CATATTGAGAAAAATATGTTTGATAATGTTTTTAACATAATTATAAATATGCTTGAGAAAAAACTAAAGATAATGCCAACTCTAGGAAAGACTTGAAACTCTTTTGTAAAAGGTCGAATTAGCAAAGGATTATGCATATGGAAGTATCCTAAAGCGGCATTTACTCTGTCTAAACAAAAAAAAATTGCTTGAATGTATAAAACGACTCGGGTTCCCCGATGGATATGTGTCCAATCTAGCTAGATGTGTTGATATACAACATGAAAAACTTTATGGGATGAAAAGTCATGACTATCACATCTTCATGCAGAGATTTCTTCCAATTGCATTTTGGGAGTTTTTTCTAGGAAATGTTTGGCAATCACGTACAAAGTTGAGTTTGTTTTTCAAGCAATTGACTTCTATAATTATAAAGCAAAATGATATGTTGCAGCTTAATGATGTGATACCCATTATTTTGTGCAAAGTAGAACGTATATTTTCACCTAGCTTTTTGACTCCATGGAACATCTTCCAATCCATCTACCATATAAGGCATCTTTTGCGAGAACCTATGCAATATCAATAGATATATCCATTTGAAAGGTATTTACATTCAATTCAAAAGTAAAATTAAACCAATTTCTAACTTTCGAACGTTAAAATTATTCATATTTGCGAGGATCCGCAAAAGCTAAAAAATAATGTTAAAAATAAAGCTAAAGTGGAAGGATCAATATGTAATAAATATTTAGTTGAAGAAGCCTCTTTATTTTGCTCGCATTATTTTGAGCCTTATATGCATACTAGGCATCGAAAAATATTGTGTAATTTGGACTTCAACGTCGAAGAAGAAAACCACATTGAAGAGATTTTATCCATATTCAAATAATCGAGTCGATCAATTGATCGATACAAAATAAGAAAATTGACGCAACTAGAACATAAAGCGACCCACCAATATATATTGTTGAATTGTGAAGAAGTCAAACCTTACATTGAGTAAGTTTATCAAAATTCAAATTTTATATCATACCTATTTATTAAATTTAATAATTAATATTAGGAAGATAGTTAGAGACTAACTCACGTTTGTTATTCATTCTCTTCTCTTTAGTGGGTTTCTTGCCAAAATGTAATAGAACAATCCGTTCATGTCCGAGAATGAGGTTGATGCTCTAATTGAAAATGAGTTTACCTTCTAGTTTAATTAATATGTAAGTATTAGTATTTTATATGTTTAGTTTATTGATAGCATTAATTGAAAGATAACTAAAATTAGAGGGAATTTTATGTTTAATATACGGATACAAAATGCACAAACAATTGACATGAAAGACCGGTTCTTAAAAGATCTCGCATAAAGCCCATTGCTAACTCGTCGGATCGTACAGCGGTTATTTTGTTACTAGTTATAGGTTTTGCACACTTAAGGGATTTCGAAAATAAGATCTTTTAATAGTGGTGTACGTATTAAAGGAAGCAATTACGGTTCAACCGAGAGTGACTATTACGGGATGCTGAAAAAACTTCTTGAAGTAAAGTATCATGCATTACTAATCAAGAGACTAGTATTGTTCAAATGTGACTCGGTTCGATCCCACACCACAAGGAATAAGGGTTCATCCACACTACAACTTATGGATGTTGATTGTAAAAGAACCTTGAATAATTATGAACCATTTGTCCTAGCATCACGAGTTGGCTCAAATGTATTATATGGAGTACCCTAGCTTAAGATACGACAATTGAGATTTGTGGGTTATGTGTAAGATCAAAGCTAAGTCCGTGTTTGAGTTTCCGAATCATCGATTATCGTCGAACAAAATGTTGAACCATTTCAGCACGACGATCTAAAAATCCAACATAAATTGATAGATGAAGTTTAGGACGTCACTTTGTTGAATGATCCAAATGGATGATTTGTAAATATAGAAGTAGTTGTGGTTGATGAAGAAAATGATTGATAATGTGTCGAATAATGAAAATGATAACTTAAACAATGATTATGATAGTTTTAATTAAATTTATATTTCATTATTGTATTAGTAAGAAATTATGTAATTTTTTTATTAATTTTTATTTTTCTACCTTCACTAAATGTTCGTTATATATTTTGATTGTTTTATATCCATAAAAAAATGATATATTTTAATTTATTTACTCATGAGTAGACTCGATAATATATTTGTTGTATTTTTTTATTTAATGTTAGATCATACAGTAATGACTCGTGATAATAATGATTTACGTCATCCCTCCATAGTCACTACTCGGATCACGTTTCGATATTCATGGATGAGTATCACCATCGGAGGGTAATCCATTAGGATCCCATACTAATATCGATCGTGGGTCTCCAACGACATGACTTTTTATGGATCCAACGGCTCATGTGGACATGGAGCTAGCACATCCGCATTGACGAGTGTTCCTATATCGACATCCGAGAGTGGCCTCTCCATCGACCTCCGAGAATGGCCCCTCCGCACACGCGTCTTACACTCCGGAGAGATTCATATCTCATCCCGTTGGCAACGTATTATTTACGTCGAATACGGACTATAAGTATTTTTTTTAATATGTAATTCCAATAATTACTGTGTTTAAAATATTTCTTTCATCGTTTTATTGTTTAGATTGACTCTGTATAATAGAGATTATTTTATGAGAATCTATGAGATTTTTAAGGCACTCGGTGGACAAGAAAGGATCGTCCCGAAAAGATCTCCCCGATGTCACTAAAGACTTCTACTTTAGTGAATTTCAAGTAACGTATTTTCAATTTTCTTTAAAATTAAAATAAAAAATTTCTCATCAAATGAATTATATAAATTTTTTTGCTTGTGCGGAAATGTTTTGAATGGGATGTGGACATCGATGCACTTGTTAGAGCGGTGTGGGACGGTATCGTTAGGAAACGCTATGCTAACTTCGTACATAAGATCGGTTTGATGGACAAGCCACTTGCATTTATGAGTTAGGAGGCATGAAATGCGTGGCAAGTTGATTTCAAGAAACCTAATCATGTGGCTTGTTCGGAGCAAACATCGTGGAACCGATTGTCGGAGATTAGCGATCGTGGTTTGGATCCTTCCGGACATAAAGGGGACTCAATATCTTCACAAGAGCGTGCACGTAACTTGGTAAATTACAATCTTTATCATTATTTACTTATTTGAGAATATTTCAATTTGGGACTTGTCATATTCTCTATAATGAATTTTGTTTTTCGGACAGACAAAATTGGGACGTCGACCAACGAGTTTTAAGTTGTTCTAAAGGACTAACAAGAAACGCGATGGTTCATTCATCGATATGTGCTCTCGGTAGAAAAAGATTGGTATTTTTCAATTTTAAATATTAAATATAAAAATTTAATCTAAAATTTATTGTAATCTTGTAATGATGATATTATTATTTTGATTACGCAGGACCGTGTGGAGCAACTCATCAATGAAGAAGTTAAGGCTCAAAAGGAGGCGGGAATCTTAGAGCCGAAAATAGATTATAATGCCAAATACTGCAGTACGTTAGAGAGAAGAAGAAAAGATTTTATGGTATAGGTACACGATCGATGCATTATGTGTCTTAGTCCGGTGGCGACAACTCCTACTCCGTGACCTCGTAATACACCAACGATCCGGCTAGCAAAAAGCTTCGGAGGGACTACGAGGCTACGAAGAAAAAGGTGATCGATCTTAAAAGCTAGATCTCAAAGAAAAATCGGACTATTTATAGTATGAAGTCTCAATACGATTCAATGGCATCCTTATCGTTACAGTGGCACAAACATCCGAGTTGTCTATAGATCCGTCGATCATTCAACAATCTACCATTTCTTCCACTCGGCCTCCGGTTGAGCCCTCCACATAGTATGAGGATGAAGATATGGGATTAGACGAGCAAGATGAGTGATATAATATTCAAACACTTTGTTTGTTTTGTTGTTTTTTTATGGAACATATTCTAGAATGATTTTGTTAATATTATTTTATTTTTCATATATACATTATTACTTATAATTGTTTATTATTAAATATTAATTATTAAATGTCATATTAATAATTTAACTTCAAAAAATGTCAACAAAAGCGACGAAATTCCAAAAAAATCGTTTTAAAAAATAGTGACGGATTGGTGACAATTTTGTTTTTTGAAATAGTGTTGGATTTATTTCAAAATTAGCGACCGAATAGTGACGGATTAGCTATGAACAAAATGATCGATCCGACGACAAGATTAGCGACGAATTTTTTTGGTTTAGCGACGGATTTTTCATTGCTAAATGTTGCAATAGATCGAGTATTTCGTCAACAAAAATTAGCGACAAGCGAAATAGCGATGGAATATTTTCCGTTGCTATTCACGAGTAGCGACGGAATCAAGGCGTTTAATGACGGAACATTCCGTCACTAAATTCTTTTTTTTTTTTGTAGTGTACATGATAAAAAAAATTCAAAATAAATTAGTAAAAACTATACGAGTGGGTATTGGATTCTGAAATCATGTTAATATATATATATATATATTATTTGTTTTAATATTAATTAGATATTTTTAATAAATATTTATTAAGATAAATAAAACGAATATTCATTTTATATTCGATTATTTGTCATCCTCGAGTATGTACAGATTTCTTTAATCCTTTGTGAATAATCATATAAAATCTTTTTTTATTTTTTAGAAAAGTTATTTCAGATACGGTGGTTCGCAAAAATAATAAAATAGCATGTTTAATCGAGACTTTACCGCTTGTCGTAACCCTCGAGGGTTGAAAAAGAACCTAGCTACCAGGCTAACACATATAAGATAGAAAACTCCACAATTAAGCAGTTAATTAGCAAATACAATAATTAAACCTAGGCACGCATTTTATAATAGTTTTCAAGTTAATACAGGGAAGAGAACAGCACAAAAACGAAACGGGAAGAAAAAATAAAAATTAAAAGCACATAGAACCAAATATGTATTAAACACTGCGACCACAACCTCTACTCAGGTAATATCTCCTTGTTTTAAATCAGGTCACCTTCTTCACCTTCCTCTTCGTCATCAAAAGTAGTGTTTGGCTCATCCTCACCAATAATAGGTGAATATTCTTCCAATTTCTCCTCTTCATCCAGATCGTTTTTCACTTCTTCTTCGGTTTTCTTCTCTCCTTCTTCTTCTTCTTCATCATCATGCACAACCACTTCAGGTTCTTCAGTTGTGGCCGCTTTTTCTTCAATAACCAGTTTTTCTTCAGCTTGGTTGGTCGCCTCTTTGACCTGTTCAGCATCAACCTGCAATGTGAAATACCATGTCAATTATATCCCCTTTATGCATGGGACGAATGAATGTAAATATATATGCTAGTACTTTCAAAAGTACATTCATCAACTTTCAAATTGAGAAGGTATTTGCAACTCATGAATTCTAAGAAAGAGAGCTAATAGAAGAGAGGGAGCACCTGGGCGGAGGCCATTGAGAATTGAGGGAGGAGATCAAGGAAGCTGGAAGCACAGGTAGGGAAGGACAGGAAAAGGTTTGAAATAGCAGCAGAAACAGCTTCTGGGACGGGATGAAATGAAATGATATTTGCAAGGTGTTAGGGCTTATTTATAATGCAGAGCATGCATGCCAAGCATTCATATGCTCTATGATCCCAAAATTACATACGCAAAACTTGCTATATTCGAAAGTAAACGGAAACCATTCTCCAAAAGAAATTGGAATCGAATTCTATCAGTTCATTTCTAGAATGCTAGTGGTTAAGGGAAAGTAGCCCGACTACTAATCACAACTTTAAAAGTAATAGATAAAAAAATGTATTAAGGATACTTAGGTATACACACACACTTATTAAACTTACTTATAAATTTTAAACTCAATTGATATTAATATATCTTGAATTCGAATCTATTTTTTAATAAATAAAAAAATTATTAATGTATTGCTCAATCCTTATAGCATGTCCATCTTTTGAAAATTAAAATTTCTCATATTTAAAATGGAAAAGATATCGTATGGAATCCAAAATCTTAATAAGTTTAATCAAATCTCTCGTTCAACCCCCCACCCCAACAAAAAATAAAATAAAAAGGAAAAAAATTGAAAAAGGATACAATAATAAGTCCAATCATCTCCAACTTAGCTAGGACAAGTTTAACTTGAAGATGCAAAGCATAATAAAAGATAGGAAAAGTAAACGTTATTTAATTCACATATATGCCAATATCCTCCATCACCAAACAGTACTTTACTCACAAGAACCTATTCTAATCCACGTGTCAACAAACTATTGGCCAGGTCCGTTCAACTTGCAAATTCCGTGGAATTATAAGTGGGTCCGAGAGGTTGAAAATATGCAAAGCAAAGTCAGTAGTGCTTGTGCTTTAATGGAGATCACTCACTTATTAAGGTTCTTTGTAGCGTTCGCTTTGTTAAGATGTCATTTCCAGGTGTTTCTTAAGGATTGGTTTGTCTAAGTGCCAAGGCCGTGAGAGGCTGAACCATACATTGGCACAATAATCGTTATTATAAAGTATCATGATCATAAAGTGCCATCACATCATTTCATTACACATACACTGTAATCTTTTACATCTTTAATCCAAGATTCTAATATTACAACAATTTTTTTTACGTGGAGGGATTTTGAAAAAATGCATCAATAACACATAAAAATAGATCGAAATGTCAAAATATCAAGAGTTAGTGTAACTTATAAAAAGAGTGACACATCTCTTAAATTTGTTAAATTTGTTATTGTTGATTGATCTCTTTTTAATTCAAATACTATTCTATTCATTCTATACACTTGCTATATCATGTATTGCTATGAAAATTTATGATACTGCATCTCTAAATATAATTTACACTAATGAAACAGATAACATATTTTGAAAGCTTCAATATCATACATGGTATCAAAGCCTAGATTCTTTAGTATTCAACATCTTCCTTTTCTCAATATATGGTGGGTGAATTGATTGTTTCCACCACAAACATAATTCCTTCTACGACATCCACTACTCATCATACCTTTTCCATCAAACTAACTTCTCAAAATTTTCCGACCTATTTTTATCATTACTAAATTATCATAAACTCAAAGGTTTTATTGATGACACATCCACGCCACCACCACACATAAATACCTCTACCATTAATTCACCAACAATTGTTCCAAATCCAAAATTTGAACCATGGTCTCAAAACCATCAACTTTTACTTTCTTGGCTTCTATGTTTCCTTTTAGAGAAGGTTTTTTTTTTTTCTATATTATTAGTTTACAATCTTCTTACTCGTTTGGAAGGCACCGGAAAGTACATTTGGTTCTATATCTCAAAATTGTCAATTACGACTCAATATAGAGCTTCAAGAGTTAAGAAAAAAAATGATATATATGTATCTAAATGTCTACAAAAAGCAAAGGACCTTATTATTGAACTTTCTATTGTTGGTCGCTCACTTTTTTTATTGAGTTTAATGCGATTATATATCGCAATATTGGGACATAATATTATTCTATTGTTATTGCTTTGAATTTAAGAGTTGATCAAGCCCTTTTTTTTTTTTTTTTTTGAAACTTCATGAGAATTATTTGCATAAGAAATATTGCTAAAAAACATAAATGCATATCCAACTACAAATATGGTCTTTAAACAACAACAAGCTCCTTCAAATCGACCATTTCCACCATCTTTTTTTATTATACAAAGTTTTTCCTATTAAAATAATCAAACTCAAAGACAATACAAGCACAACCCTTGTCAAATATGTGGATATAAAAATTCATACAATAGATTAGTCGAATCGACATTATGCATCAAGACAATCATCTTTCTTGCAACCTCAAGCTATTGTTGCTTGGTACGATTTGACGATGCCAACCCATACTCTAATGGCACAACCATCATCAATGCCTTTTGCATATTCGCAAAGGCATTCATTAACTCCTTATATTGGATGGTATCTAGATATCGGTGCTATACATCACATAAATTTTGATTCCACTACTCTTTTTAATATTACAAACTATAAGGGCATAGATAAAATTACAATTGGTAATCATTAATGTTTGCCTATTTCTCATGATGGCATTATCTATTATCCTTCATTTTATGCTAATAAAAATCTCATGCTTAAAGATGTTTATCACGTTTGTAATCTTACTAAATATCTTTTGTCTTTAAAAAAATTACAACTAATCATTCTTACTTTTTTGAATTTTGGCCATCTCATTCCTTAGTGAACGATCATGAGAGCAATGAAAACCTATTGCTCGACAAAAGTGGGAATGGTTTCTATTTATTCCTATCACCATAAAAGCATGCATTTATAGGCCAAAGTGATTCCTTTGCAACTTGGCATTCTCATTTCAATCATCGTCAATCTTATATTGTGTCAAAAATAAATCAAAGACAATAATTTAGATTCTTTTACTCTATCAATGTCTTTTAGTAACTATTTTGCATGTCAATTAGAAAAATTATCTAGATTGCATTTAGCTTTAATTGAACATAGAAGTAATGAGTCCTTTGATCTCATTCATTCGGATGTTTAGGGTTAGCTCATGTACTTTTAATTTAGTTTATCGAGTATTTTATCTTGTTTGTTGATGATTTTATAAGGTTCACTTAGATTTACTTTCTTAAAAATAAAAGTTATGTTTTTCAAAATTTTCTCTAATTTCAATCTTATGTTCATAGATAATTTGATTGCATAGTTAAATATTTCCATTCAGATCGTGATTGAGAGTATAAGAAGCTACATTCATATTTTTAAAAAGTTAGTATTGTTCATCGTATTACATGTCCATACACTTATGAACATAATGGTATTTACGAACATAAAACCAAGCATATTGTTGACACTAGATTAACTATTTTGGCACTTGCTAAACTTCCATTCAAATATTGGTCTTATACGTTTCAAAGTAGTGTTAATCTAATTAATTTAATTCCCATTCTAATTCTCCATAACAAAACAACGTTTGAACTACTACATGGCAAGAAACTAAAATATACAAAACTATTTTTTTATTATATAGTTTATCCACTTTATGTTCATATAATCAACATAATTCTTTAATCAAACTAAATTTGCATTTGCTTAGGTCACTCTTCTCAACATTATAGTCACTTTTGTCTTGATCTTGAAATAAATACGGTATAGATCGCTAGATGTGTTAAGTTTGATGAAATTACTTTTCCTATCAAATTAAAGGTTGTTCTATACAAGAGTTCCATTTTGCCAAGGAATACACATTTTAATCCATCGTTAACAATCTTAATTTTGTCTCCTCTTACCTTCGTTAAGGTACGCCTATCTCTCATACTTTATCCTGAGGGTGTTCACTATTCGGTTAAAACCGAAATATCGAACCGAACCGAATCGAATTAACAATTTCGATTAGGTTTTTTTTTAATATAATAAAAAACCGAACCGAAAAACCAAAATTATTTCGGTTCGGTTCGGCTTTTTAAAACCCATTCGGTTTTCACCGAAAAATGAATTTTAAGCAAAGTTAAATTTTAACTTACAAAAGTCAAAAGTAATAAAAGTAAAGTTACAAAGAATCGAATACTAAAACCCTAACTCCCGTCCGTCTCCCACTCTCCCTAAGTTCTTACTCCTTGACTCCTTCCCGACTCCCGAGTTCTCTGCTTACTGCTGGTTGGTCAGTTCTTCGCTCATCTTGGTTGGTCGGTTGTTGCTTGCTCGCTTCCATCAAAGTTCAAACTTCATCCTTCTCTTTCGGACTTTCACAATCGGTGTTTCACGCCTTCATCGCTTCGGTGCTTCTAGACTTCCGGTTCCGACCAACAAAACTCAAAAGGTCAATTTTTTTTTTTTGTGGTTAAATGCTAGACTTTTGATTAATTTCATTTTTTTCCTGAATCATTTATAAATTTGTGTAATTAAAATGAAACCATTGGGTTGTTGATGGGTTTAATGCTTCGGGTCCCGTAACTTCTTTTATTGTTGAAGTTTCTATTATTCTGTCTCTTTTTTATTCGAAACCTAATATGACTATATGAGAAGTTAGTAATTGACTATATAGTATTTGCTTTTAGGTTTTCATGAGTAAGACTTTTGAATTTTTTCATTTGGGAATTGGAATTAGACGGTAGGGTGGCCACCGGCTCGTGGGCACCGGCGGTAGGCCTACCGGCCGCCCGCATGGCCAATAGGCTTACCGGTACTTGCCCTAACTATAGTCTTGTGATTGATTTCAATAAAGAAAATAAATATTTAATTTGTTAGCATTACGATGTGCAATCAAATTTTTGCTATGTTGTTGGGGAACTTGCATTGAAATTAATGATTTCTTTACATTCTAACTATTTCTTATCGTTTATATTAAGTTGTTATATGACCGGATCTTATATAAGTGATTTAATCTTTAACCCTACGAGTGGCTGACGACCACTAGGCTTACTAGCCTGTCGGCTCGCGAGCACGAGCCAATAGGCCTATAGTCAGCCGATTGACGGTGGACACTATCCATCGTTTTAACTTTTAAAATTTAAATTTTTAATACAATAAACTTGTATTTAATAATCATTTCTAATCAAATATATTCTTCAATTTGTGTAGATGTTAAGATCCTCGAATGCTGAAGTTGCGAGTTCAACTCATCCAAAACCGAGTCCAACAACGAGATACGATTGTTGTTGGCTCTTCATCAAACACACAAGTGAGCACAAAGATGAAGAGAAAAGCAATGAGGCCAAGGTCACTTGTATGGGACCATTTCACAAAGTTTGAAGATGAAAATAAAGACATCAAGGGGAGATGTAATTACTCGTGATAAGGTACTTGCTCGCTCATCCTACTAGAAATGGTACTACCGCACTTAAATCTCATATGGCCATATGCAAAAAACACCCACATAGGCTTGACCTTACCCAATCAAAATTGAACCTTCAATCTAATTCAAGTGTTCAAATGGGAGAAAGCACTCTTAACATATGGAAGTTTGATCAAACTTGCATTAGAAATGCTTTAGCTTACATGATTATTGTGGATGAACTTTCTTTCAAATTTGTCAAGAATGTGGGGTTTAAGTGGTTTATGTCAATTGCACAACCTAGGTTTAAAATTCCATCACGGGTTACCATTTCAAGAGATTGCTATCAACTTTATATGTATGAGAAATTAAAGTTGAACCAATTTTTGAAAAATAATTGTCAAAGAGTTTGTCTTACTACGGACACATGGACGTCTATTCAAAGAATTAATTATATGTGTCTAACGACTCATTTTATTGACAATGATTAGAAGTTGCATAAAAAGATTCTAAATTTTTTTCCGATTGATGGTCATAAGGGTATTGATTTGGGTAGTGCTATTGAAAAGTGTTTGATTGATTGAGGAATTGAAAAAGTTTTCACTATTACTCGTAGACAATGCAAGTTCAAATGATGTGGCGATTAGATATTTGAGAGATGTTTTGAATAATTGGGGTAATAGCATCTTAGATGGGGAATTACTTCATATGAGGTGTATGGCTCATATTTTGAATCTTGTTGTTTCGATGGGTTAAAAAATGCAAATCCTTCGATCCTTCGTGTTCGAGCAATTGTGAGGTATATTAGACAATCTCCCGCTAGGTTGAGAAAATTTAAGGAATGCATAGAGATTGAAAAGATTGATTCTAAAAGTTTGTTACATCTAAATGTTTCAACTAGATGGAATTCAACTTATTTGATGTTAGATTCAGCGCAAAAGTTTAAGAGAGCATTTAAGAGATATGAGCAAATTGATCATTTATATAGTATTGAACTTAATGTGGATCTTGGTGATGGGGCATTTGGGCCACCCGGTGTCGGAGATTGGAGGACTTATAGGAAAATGGTGACAATATTGAAAAATTTCTATGACCTTACTTTCTCTATTTCGGGTCATTCATATGTCACTTCTAATAATTATTTTGATAAAATTTATACGCTTGAAGCTGATTTGAGAGAATGGCAAGAGTGTGCCGATGATGATACTTGTTCAATGGCTAGTAAAATGAGAGAAAATTTTGATAAGTATTGGAGGGATATGAAGAAAATGAATAAGTTGATTTATATTGGAGTCGTGCTTGATCCAACACATAACCTTACTTATGTTACATTTACATTAAACGGATTGCATGGTGATTTCCTTAGAGAAAAGATGACAAATGATGTGAAAGAATGTACATATGACTTGTATGCTTCATATTGCAATTTATCACCAAATCAAGGTCTTAGTGGTCAAAGTAATGGGATTATAGAAGTTTCAAGTGTAAGTGATGGAATGGTCCGAATGGACACCAATCATGCCATAAAGAAAAAAACAAGACACTTGCAAGGATGTCACGATTTCAAAAATTCAATGAAAGTGAAGATGGAGATAAAAGATTAGATTTGGATAAGTATCTTCGTGAATCTGTCAAAATTGGAGATGAAAATTTTAATATTTTAGAGTGGTGGAAAAACAATTCTCTTCGGTTTCCTATCCTTTTAAAAATGGCTCGTGATGTGTTGGTCGTTCCAATATCTACTCGTTCCTTCGGAATCAGCATTTAGCACTCGGAAGAAGAGTTCTCGATGCCTTTAGGAGTTCTTTAACTCCTAGCATTGTGCAAGCTCTTGTATGTGCTCAAGATTGGTTTTGAAATTCGATGCCAATTACTACCGAAGAATATTTACAAGATGTTGAGAAACTTAAAGCCGGTAAGTTTTCCAATTCTTATATTTTTATTTGTCTCGTTTCCTTCCAAATTAATATTAAAGACCTAAAGTGTTGATTTTTTTTTCGGATTTATTAAAACTATCAACGGATGCACCTATGATAGATATATGATGAATAGATGGTGGTTTGATCTTTTGCAGTGACATGGGTAAATTTTTAATGAATTATCTTTGTGTCTCGTCCATGTGTGTTTGTAAATGCCTTTATATTTATAGAATTGACATTTTTTTCTTTTCTTTGTAGAATTTGTCATTTAGTGAATCTTTTGCTTGAAGCCTGGAACTTGTCTATTTATGGAATTGTGGTTGTGAGTTGTGACTTATTGGAGTTTTTTGAATTATTTTACTTGGCAAGTTATTAGTGACTTAGTTTTGTATTGTTGGCTTCTTATTGTTGCTTTTACTTTTATAAATTACTTATGTTACTTGGTAATTTGAGAATGTTGAATATTTGAATTATTGTTTTTAATTTTTTATTTTGTTGCATACTTGAAATTGAATTGTTGTTTGACATTTTTGCTTTTTCATTATTAAAGTGTAGAGAATAGTGTAGCATTGTAGTCTATTTAAAATTTAGATGGGGTCTATGTGTTATTATGGCTTGTCATTAAAAAAGTTGATCTTTGAATTAATGTTGAGATCATGAAATCGATGCAATTTTAATTAAGTTATCGATCGAATCAACATATGATATTGAGTATTAATTAAAGGTGAAAACCAAATTATCGAATAAAAAACCGATATATTTAAAAGCCGAACCGAAAAATTGAATAATAATTCGGTTCGGTTTCGGTTACTTTTTAGACAATTCGGTTAATCAAAAATCGGTAAACAAAATTTGAAACCGAACCGAATTACCGAATGAACACCCCTACTTTATCCTTATCTCTCTCAACTTTTTTTATCCTCTACTAATTTAGTTTCATCAACTCCTATTCTAATGAAACTCTCATTCCTATATATCTACTTCATCATGTTAGTAAAGGTGTCCAAGATAAAATCATGTTTGGATGGGCTTAAGTTAATTTATCATTGCATCATTTATTTTGATAATAATTAAAGAAGTCATTCTATTAATTCTTATGTTTACATGTTGATAAATTTAGTAGAATTAGATAGAAGTCCTTATGATATACATTTGCAATAGTGATTGATCGAAAGATATGAGACAAACACTAATGTACATAAATGATATCATTAAATGTCCCAAGTCATAGCATTATCAAAAATGGACATTGACAATATGTGGATAGACTAATAAGTGTTATGCTCATGCTATATGATAGCGAGTAGGAGATCTCATACCTATTGGCATGGTGATGTCGAAGCAAGCACTTAGGTGATTTATGTTAGAGAATATATCATCTGGACTTGACTCGTCATGAGAATCCATTTGGTTTTAGTCTATGGAAATCTCATACAAGATGGGTACAAATGATCCTTATACTTGAAGTCATCACGATTATCTCATTGGAAGACTTATGCACTTTGACACTCGTTTCGATAGACCCATTAATGAATTATATGTGGATAATTCATTGGGTGCACTAGGAATCTAATAGAGATAGGTGTATGACTAAAATAGGACATATCATTCCTTGCATGCTAAGGAGTTATCACATTGTACTTCGATAAATGTATACTTAAGAAATCTATGGCCATAGTAGAAGTACACCAATAGAGTATAGTTGGTCTACTCTAAGAGCTAAGACATTTGAGAATCAAAGAAATCTTATATTATCATAATCGAAAAAGACTAACAACCAAGTTCACGATCACACTTGTGATAAGTTGATATGAGGACTGAATTATATAGTAACCATGCTCGTAAAAGATAATAATAGATTAACTAATCTTCCTAGAAAATTGGGTAGTCATAATGTCTTGCTAGAGGCCAATTTTGATTTATGTATCAAGAGTCAAGAGATAAAAAAGGAATCTTTTATTCTTGATATATTGCCAACATATCTAAGAGCCTATTGAGCCATACACATAAGTTTAAATA